TATCATTTTATTAAAATCATTATATAATTAATTTAATTGTTGATTATATTTAATTAAATTTATATGAATGGTAAATCATATATGTGTGTGTATATAATACATATATTAATTGTGTATATCATTTGAACTATAATTTTTTAATTATTTATATTTATCATTGTTTTAATATTGGACATGAATTTTTACACATCGCGCCGCATAAAAAAATGCTTATATATATATATATATATATATATATATATATATATATATATATATATATATATATATATATATATTTAGGATCATATGAGAACACTTGCTTAGGTGAGTACGTGAGAACACATCGTTTGCATCCATATAATATTTTTTAATGGTCTAGATTAGATTAAGTGTGTGCAAACGCGATTAAGTGTGTTTGCACACATTTAATCCGCGTTCGCACACACTTAATCTAATCTAAACCATTAAAAAATATTAGATAGATGCACATAATTTGTTCTTACGTTCTCACATAAGCAAGTGTTCTCATTGGAACCCTACTATATATATATATATATATATATATATATATATATATATATATATATATATATATATATATATATATATATATATATATATATATATATAGGAGTTCAAATGCGGTAGTGTTGTTAGGTGCGGCGGTGCGCTCAATTGCAGGCCATTAGATTAGATAAATCTAATGAATCACATTCATCAAGGCTTCTCCAATATTTTCGCGCACGTTCTCCCACTAGGCTAAAGTCGTCATTGGGCACCGGAATAGGGCAAATCACATGTGTGTTTTATTTGTGTAATTGGTGCATTATTAGCCTTACACTAGTGTATTTGTAGATTCCCGTTGGTGCCAAGTTCAGGTGCGGCAGCCCTTTCCCGTGCGGTCAGTGCGGCCGCACCAATAGTTATACAAATATACATCATCCATGTTAGAAAATGTACACCAAAAAACATGCACAAATTAGGTGATGCAATTAGGTAGCATCACCAAAACGCACCATTAGGTATGAATAAAGCACCACACAGTGTTCAGAAATACACCATAGGAGTGTGGGCGTTATATGATGTATTTTTTGGGTGTGTTGTGTGTTTTTTTGGTGTATTTGTGCATTTCATTGTTGTACTTTTCCCTGACATTATTGGTGTCTTTTGTTAACACTGTTGGTGTATTTTGTCAAGCGACCGCTATAAATGGCGACTATAATTACCATAACACCCCACTTACCAAACACGCTTAAATCTTCAAATCTTCAGTAATTAGTCAGTGCCGTTAGATTAAACTGATTCAACGACATAGATAAAGCCGCACCACCGCACCTAAGAGATTGACCGCATATGAGCCACATTATATATATATATATATATATATATATATATATATATATATATATATATATATATATATATATATATATATATATATATATATATATATATATATATATAATCCGGATCAGGTGAGGACCTAATCTTAGGTGAGGACGTGAGGACTAATCTTGTGCGTTTGTTTTTTTATTTGGATGGTCCAGATTTGAGTTCTTGAGATGACATGGATTGATCTTTTTTGTTAAAGTGGGATAATAGTGTCTTTTTCTATTTTTTTAAGTGTGAACGCATGTATAATCCTTGGCCAAATTGGTTTCCTATTTTCTTGGATCATCACCGTTGCAATTTGGAGCCGCGATTTCTTCATCATTGATTGAGTGTTCGCCCATGCAAACTAATCAGTATTTTTTATTTTTTTCGCTTGTTCTTTTGAGTATAATATTGTCTATATTTGGATTGTCGTGTATATGTATAAATGCCTGGGTAGTACGATTGTGCATTAGTGTGTGCTGATTATGCAACCTAGTGTTGTAAATTGTGCACTATAGGCTAGGGAGTTGTGCATTATAGCACATAGTTCAATGCATCGTAGAACATTGGATGTTCACTGTATGATTTTTTGGCGGGGTTTGAATGCACAACAATGAAGTTATTGATGCACAACACTCAGTATAGGAATGCACAACATTTTGTATAGGAATGCACATCTTTTAATAGGACTGATTTACCCTAAATTTATATATTTTAATATTTTAAAGGGATTTGTTTTCTTAATCCGTGTGATTTGTTTCTTTTAATCTCAATCATACATCATTCTGATTTAATGGTCTAGATTAGTCCTCACGTCCTCACCTGATCCGGACCCTATATATATATATATATATATATATATATATATATATATATATATATATATATATGCTCAACAAAATTACTTAAAATTTCCATTTCATCCACTATGCTTACCGCATAAGTCAAATGTGGGCACGTCAAACGTGTAGCTATCAACTTTTGCACATTGTAATAATTAATAATTAGGGAAAATGGCATTTTTTCCCCTTAGTTATATATTTATAGCACTTTTTCCCTCCGAGTAATTAATGTAAGCACATTAGCCCCCTGAATTATTTTAAAAGTGGTTGTTTTCCCCCCTGATATATTAAATTGACATTTCTACCCTTAAAATAAACATTTTATTTATTTTTCTTATCCAACAAATTATTGCGTATACGTAGGGATGACCACGGTTTGATTCGAATTGAACCGGACACTATAACAATCGAATTAAAAGTTTCCGGTTATGATTCAGATCCAGAACCCAATATTTGAATTTCAATTTATTAAAATTATGAATCGAAAAAATTGGATCCTGAACCGTGAACCGGGGGTTCCGGATCCGGTTCGCAATTTTGAACCGTCTTTATTTTAAAATTTTATTTTTTATTTTAAAATAGTCTAAATTCAACAATAAATGTATTTATTTTTTTTTTCAGTTCGGAACATGAACCGGCCATCCCAGTTCGCGATTTTAATAAACTCTAAATATCGGGTTTCGATTCTAAAATGTACTTAGAATATTTCGGTTTGGTTGCTATAGTGTCTGTTTGGTTTGAACGAAATTGTGGTCATAATTTGTTGGAGAAGAAAAATAAATTAAATATTTATTTTAAGGGTAAATATGTCCATTTAACATTTCAGGGGGAAAAACAGCCACTTAAATAATTCAAGGGGGGAAAATGCTATAAGTATATAACCCAGGGGGAAAAAGTGCCATTTTCCCTTAATAATTATTACCAAATAATTATTATCAAATTAAGGGTCAAATAGTCCTCCAACTTTAAGTCAAAGTACAATTAGACTCTTGAACTACCAAAAGTTTCAATTAAGTCTTTCATCTGTTTATTTGTATGTAATTAAGTCCATAATTTTTTAAATTTGTTCAATTAGCTCATTATGCGGAGTATCAATCTAACTGTTTTATATTTGATAATTTTAACACTAATTTTTATTTAAATAATGAATATTAGTTTATTTAGTCTAATGTACCAAAATGTTTACTTAATATAATTAAAATTTCTAAATAAATACTGAGTATATATTTAATACCATCTGATGTCCTCCGAGTATAGTGGTGTTGCCACGTTTAGTCCTAAACTTTCAAATTGACCGTCTGTGGTCCTTCGACTTTCAAATTTAACCATTCGTGGTCCAAGTTAGCCACCTATGGTCCTTCAAGTTTCGAAACTTAACCAGTCGTGGTCCTCTTGAAAGGACCATGGTTGGTTAAAATTTAATAGTTGAAGGACCATGGGTGGTCAACTAGGACCACAAATGGTTAAATTTGAAAGTCGGAGGACCACAGATGGTCAATTTAAAAATTTAGGACTAAACGTGACAAAATCACTATACTCGGAGGATCTCGAATGGTATTAACTCATTTATGTTAATATCAAATCACATGACAATCTAGATGCTAGGTTGCGAATCTAGTAGGTTGGAATCAAATAAAAAAAATTCTGGTTAGTGTGATAATATAACTATCAAGTAACAGAGATTTATTATTAAAATTGTCAAATTTAAAGATTTAATTATAATTAATCATAAAATATTTAAAAATTTCTACCAATAAAGCCAAATATATTATTTTTAGGAAAACCTTAAAGTGCTAGTCAACACTGTATGTCTATATGAATGGAGTATAATCTAAATTACATATCTAGTTGAATATTGTATTTTTACACTACTCCACAGGGAGGGAAGTTACCAAGCTAACTGTCTGATCAACTCATGAAGTATAATCTAAGCTGCATACCTAGTTGGACATTGGATTATAGCACTACTTCACAAGGTGAGGAGTTACCAAGCTAACTGTTTGACCAACTCATGGAGTATAATCTAAGCTGCATACCTAGTTGGCCATTGTATTATAGCGCTACTCCATAGAGAGGGGGGGAGGGGGGGTTACCAAGCTAACTGTTTGACCAACTCATGAAGTATAATCTAAGCTACATACCTAGTTGGACATCGTATTTTAGCACTACTTCACAGGGAGGGGAGTTACCAAACTAACTGTCTGACTAACTCATGGAGTATAATCTAAATTGCATACCTAGTTGGACATTGTATTATAGCGCTACTCCAGATGGAGGGGAGTTACCAAACTAATTGTCTGGCCGACTCATGGAGTATAATCTATCCACGGGGAGGGGAGTTATCAAGCTAACTGTTTGATGAACTCATGGAGTACAATCTAAGCTGCATACCTAGTTGGACATTGTATTATAGCACTACTCCACAGGGAGGAGAGTTATCGAGCTAACTGTCTCCAACTCATAGAGTATAATCTATAAGCTGCATACCTAATTGTCTCCAAGCTAACTATCTGGACAACTCGATTGAGGTCGCTACCGTATATATCAGAGAAACTTGTCTCCACAATACATGGTGTCTTTCAAAAGAACTTTATTGATTGTACCTAGTATAAATACTAAATAGATACAACGTTAACATTTTATCATTTTTTCTATATTTTGTGACAACATTACAGCCTTTTCTTTTTAAACAGTTTTTTGGGGGGTTAAAACTACAGAGCAAAACAGTAGTTTTGTGAATTGAAACACACAAATTTATGGTTTTAGTTGTTGTCCTGTTCCACTTCTGGAGCTATCTGTCAAGTGTCAACAGCAGATTCTCCATACTCCCATCCTTATTCCTTACGCCCTCCGTCCTGCGTTTTCCCATTCAAGAATTTCCGTTATTGTCTCTACACACACACACACACGCACTCACTCACTCACACTTTCCACTCTCCATTTCTCTCTCTACCTCCCATCCTCACAATATCACTCTCAAAGCAACACTTTACACTGTACCGTGTTCTCCTCACTCTCAACTCTCAGCTACCTCTCCCTATCACTCCCACACTTACATGGTCGTGAGCGCGCGGCATCCTCCATTGTTTTATTCAAAGAACCTCCCGTGAAAGTGTATAGAGGGATGGAGATCTGATTTAAGTGAAAGAAACTGATGGCAATAGTGGACAAGTCTGTTGCCTCTTGATTCAGGTAATCCCCCTCCGGTTTCTTGCTGTTTGCATTGACCCTTTATGCTGCAAGGCTGTAAAGTTGTGGCCTTTGCACCAGAAATCAAGGGTTTCAAGAAAAAGATGGTAACTTTGTCACTGCCTCCCTCAGTAATTGACAGTTCCCAGTGTTTTCAAAGTATGTTCTAATTCAGATTTTTTTCCCCTGGTTTTTGCATGAGTAGCAATGAATTTTGAATTTTTGGGGTTAAAGTTGGTCAATAGTTTTCTGGGTCATCATTGGACATGAGTTTGTAGTTACAATATATGCTAAGTAGTGTAGTAATAGTATGTTTGGGGATTTCCGAAAGGTGAATCTTTGATGACTTGGGGGTTTCTTGTTTCCTATTGAGAAGCTATTAATATTTGTTTTGGTGAATTGGAAGTTCTTTCAAGTTTAGAATAGTGATTTGGTTAATGAGAAGATCTGGGACAGAAGAGAATGTTGATTTTCCTGATTTCTAGTATTGATTCTAGAGAATTTCCAATTTTGGATCAACTTGTGTGCTGGTGATCATGACCAAGGCTGTTCGAAACCGCATACTTAAAGATGTAAATGGTAACATTAATGATCACCTCCGGAACCACATACATTTGACAAATTGTATTCATTTAAAGAATCATATGCATAAGCAGAGTCCCATCTTGGGTGATAGGTCTCTTATGAGGGACCTTGCTGCCCTTCGGAGATCGAGGTCCTTGAGGGATCCTTCTGCAAGCCCGCCCTCGTGGCATTCCCCTTCGGTTGTGGAAGCCCCTCCCGTCGTAGCAGCTGAAGGGGGTGCGGAGACTAGACAGTCTGTAGGATTGGAGATTCCGAGGGATGGTAGAGGGTTATCTGAAACCTTACCGCCTATAGCTGACCTATCTACTTCAAAAGTGGGCAGTGGTGAAGTTAACAGGCGGAATATTGGTGGGATAGTAGTTGGAAGTGAGTGCAGTAACAAGAGTGGAAATCGAGAACCGAGAAGGGTCAGGAGAGAAGAATCAAGTGGGAGGAATCTCGGGACTGATCTTGTTGCTGGAGGAAATGGGCTTCGAGATGATTCGCATGGGCAAGATGATCGTGTGAAGACTTTATCTGAAAAACTGAACGAATTCTCTTTGGACAGTGATGAGGTGGCTTCATCGCAGGTTCGTGTTCACGGGAGACATGGCCACAGCAAGAAAATTTCAAAGAGAGGGGAAGCGTCCATTAGCGGGCACCACAGTGGGAGGGTAAAACAACGTAAACTTAATGGTGCAAGGAGATCCCGCGCTTCTGTTGCTTCCAGAGATGCATTTGGTGAGAACGAAATGTCTGTGGCTTCTAATTCTTTTGGTCAGAATACGTCAAACCAGAGATATCAAGTAGAACATGGGGACGAAGAATATGGCCACCAGAATGTCACTCGGGCTCCTAGGAATGGATGTGGGATTCCTTGGAACTGGTCGAGAATTCACAATCGGGGAAAATCTTTTCTCGATTTGGCAGGTAAGAGTTTGTATTGTGGGCTGTCTGAGTCGAGGTTAAAGAAAACTGGCACTGCTCAAGTGAGGGACAGTCGAAATATCCCTATGATGTCTGAATACTCGAGTTCATCTTGTAAATCTGCAGAAGCATTGCCTTTACTACTCGATCCTTCTGGCTCCCAAGAAAGCGCTGAAAACGCTGCTTGGTTTCACGATTATTCGGGAGAATTGGGTATCTTTGCTGACAATCTACTTAACCGTGAAATTGACTCTGATCTTGCTTCAGAAGCTAGATTTGGCGGGCACCGTAATTTTCGTGGTCATGGTAATGTGAGGCACCGAAGTCTTACTCAAAAATACACGCCGAGAACCTTTAGAGATCTGGTGGGGCAGAATTTGGTCGTGCAAGCTCTTTCTAATGCTGTTGCAAAGAGAAAAGTTGGATTGCTTTACGTGTTCTACGGGCCTAATGGTACCGGGAAGACTTCGTGTGCACGAATATTTGCTAGGGCTTTGAATTGCCAGTCTCTCGAGCATCCCAAGCCTTGTGGAGCTTGCAATTCTTGCGTTTCACACGATATGGGGAAAAGTCGAAATATAAGAGAAATAGGCCCTGTCAGTAATTTTGATTTCGAGAATATTATGGACCTTCTCGACACTATGATCATTTCCCATTTTCCATCTCAGTATAGAATTTTTATCTTTGATGATTGCGATGATTTGCCTCCCGATTGTTGGAGTGCTATTCTAAAGGTTATCGATCGGGCTCCTAGGCGAGTTCTTTTTGTCCTCGTTTGTTCAAGCCTAGATACATTGCCTCATATAATCATATCGAGGTGCCAAAAGTTCTTTTTCCCAAAGTTGAAAGATGCGGATATAATCTATACGTTGCAACGGATTTCTACCAAAGAAGATCTAGAAATCGATAAGGATGCGTTAAAGCTTATTTCAACAAGATCGGATGGATCGTTGAGGGATGCTGAGATGACTCTCGAGCAGTTGAGTTTGCTCGGGCAGAGAATCTCGGTTTCGTTGGTACAAGAACTGGTGAGTTTCGTTATTTCGTGTAATTGGATCTTAGCTATTGGTATTTTTTTTTCTTAAGATTCTTGTGTTGCGTGACAGGTTGGGCTTATTTCGGACGAGAAATTGGTCGATCTACTTGACCTGGCCTTATCAGCAGACACTGTCAATACTGTGAAAAGTCTGCGGGAGATAATGGAATCCGGTGTCGAGCCCTTGGCTTTAATGTCGCAACTTGCTACCGTTATTACCGACATTCTTGCCGGTAGCTATGACTTCACAAAAGAAAGACCTCGAAGGAAGTTCTTTCGCCGCCAAGCATGTACGCATATTATAATTTTGCATCTTCGATTACACAATCATTAGCATTGTTGATATATTCTTACATATTGGTAAGATCCTTGTGGTAGAACCGAACTTTTGTTGATTGCTAGGGATAATTTTATAGCTCGAATTGATTCAAAGTACCTACCGAATCAATAATTCAAGGAAAAAGCGTCAAATAGGCCATTGAACTTGTCGATTTTGTGCAATTGAGTCACTGAACTTAAAAAGTGTGTAAAACACTATTTTCTAGTTCCAACTTTGTCGTTCTTTACCAAGCTACATATGTTTATTATTTCATTAATTGAAGGGACCGCTTTTTTGGTTTGATTTCAGTATCTAAAGATGATATGGAAAAATTACGTCAAGCTCTGAAAACGTTATCCGAGGCCGAAAAGCAGCTGAGAGTGTCGAACGACAGACTAACCTGGCTTACTGCAGCATTACTGCAACTCGCACCCGATCAGCAGTATCTGTTACCCAGTTCCTCTGCAGACACTAGTTTTAATCAAACCCCCCTCGGGATTCCCGGGACAAGCAATGTTGGGCATACTAAGATGTCTCAAAGAGAAAGAGGATTCTCGGCAGAAAACGTTCAAGCTGGAAGTTCTAGCAACAATTACACTGGTACTAAGAAGAGAGGTATCGTTGATAGAAATGGAGTTATTCCTCAAAAGTCTCGCAGCATTTCTAGTGATCGGAATAGAGTAAGTAGTGGACAAGGGCCCGGTAAATTTCGAAACGAAATTGAAGATATTTGGTTGAATGTGCTCAAAAGGATTCAGATAACTAGCTTAAAGGAGTTCCTGTACCGGGAAGGAAAGCTGACCTCCGTTCGATTTGGTGCAGGTACTTTAATTACATTTAATCCATTTTTTTTGGTCCGACCACGAGGTGTCCTGAGCAGACCCTAACTGTAGGAGGCACCTTTAAGCCCGTACCATACTCAGACTAATCCCCGTTTGCACCGGGCCAGCCCAATTAAGGGGCAAAGTGCTGGCCAGATTGGTTTTTCCATGCGAGAGGGGGTACTGTAGGAGGCACCTTTAAGTCCGTACTATACTCAGACTAATCCCCGTTCGCACCGAGCCGGCCCAATTAAGGGGCAAAGTTTTGGCCAGATTGGTTTTTCCATACGAGAGAGGGTTTGAACTCTCGACCCTCTTTTAAGGGACGAGAGTGCACAGCCACTCACGCCAACCAATTTGGTTACATTTAATCCATTTAGTAAACCCATTACTATTACTTGTATTGTATGGTGGTTTTTGAATGTCATATTCTCTTTCCCTCCCTTAATTTTCATTGCATATACAAAAACTTAAGTCGATGAAACCTTGGAGGCTTGGACATATTATTTGCCTGTACTTTCATTTGCTTGTATTAAAGTTGCCTCGAGCAATCTGATAATTACTGTCTGAAGGTCATTTTGATTCATCTTCTGAATGTCTTTCTGCAGCTCCAACAGTGCATTTAGTTTTCAGTTCACACGTAACGAAGTCCAAGGCGGAGAAATTTAGAGTACATATTTTACAAGCGTTTGAATCCGTGATTGGATCCCCCGTGACAATTGAAATCCGATGTGAATCAAGCTCCAGTCTTGGCAATGATGATGTCAATAGAAGGCCCCGAAAAGAAAGAGAAGGCGCTTCGACAGAGTTTGACTCTACTAGAATTAGTAAAAGCGAGATCGTGGAATTAGAAACTTCTCCTCCAAAAGAAGTCAAACACGAGGGGCATATTCACGAGACACGACTTGATAGGCGGAGTTTTGGAAATGATTATATTGGAGAACCATCCTCAACCGCTAAGAATTCTAACGTACCATCTGTATCGGATGTAAGGAAATTGGGGAACGGAAACCCGAACCTGAGCCTGATGAGACGCAAGGTATCTCTCGCTCATGTACTTCAACGGGCAGAAGGATGTGCCCAGCAGAGTCGATGGTCACAACGCAAGGCTGTTTCTATCGCCGAAAAGCTTGAACAAGAGAATCTGTATGTACTTCTATTTTGTATAGTAAATGTAATAAGTTTCATATTGAGTATCGTACATTTTTCGACCATAAAACATAAGAAAACTAATGTTTTATGTTTTGCAGGAGATTGGAACCAAGATCTAGAAGTTTGCTTTGCTGGAAGACTACAAGAGTATCACGTCGAAAGGTATTTTTTGTCACGGAATTTTGTTATGCTTTTCTTGATTAATTTATAGTGAACTTACAGAATTTTGTATGTGCAGCTTTCGCGCTCGAAAACAAGAAGTAGGAGACCGAAAGCTTTACTGAAGTTGGTCTCTTGCGGGAAGTGTCTCTCTGGTAGGTCTTCAAGGTAACGATAGAAAAACAAACCAGATGCGCCGAAAGGCTGCAATAATGCAGATTTCAGTTGTACTTTTCTGTTCTTTTTTATGCATACGAAATGAAAAGTTAAATATTTTATTTGTTAAATACATGTTTCAATGGTATGAAGATAGATGATAAGAAATGGAAGATCAGAGCTTCTATTGATCACGATTTAGGCCTCTTTGCTTTTCTTGCTTCTCTAAAACTGCACAAAGTTATTCGTTTTTATTTTTCTGTTTGCTTTCCGAATTACTCCTCCTCGTCAAATGATCCAGTGCAAAAGAGAAGAACGTTGTTGAGAGAAAATACTCTTTGTTCAATCCCACTTTTGGTGGACATTAAGGTATGCATAGAATTCTCTGAATCTGCTGGAATAGTTTCTTCGAATGTTTATTTCAATCCTAAATGCTGCTTCTTTTAGTTATTTATATCTGAACTCGAAAATTACTTGATACTGGACAGCATTTGTTCAAGTTTACCAGTTTTCTTGCTTGTGTAATTCACATTTCTTGATGGGATCAATTTGACACTGAATAGAATGATCAAGTTGCAAAATTATGGAATAAAATTGGTTTTTGATATGGGATATTGTTTGTTATAAACATGATGAATTTTTTTTTTTTTCTTTCTTTCTTTTTTGCCTTGATGTTTGCTACTTCACTGCGGTACTGATCAGCACCGGTGTTTCTATGTATCTGGTATTGTTGACACTTGTTCCCATAATATTCGGTGTAATAAGATATATCATGTTTGGTTGTACTTGATTCTAAGAAATGAAATTCTGTATATACACAATCTTAGTTTGATTAATATTACACCACGAGTTTTATTTCATTTTTTATGCTCTGCATACGTCATGTTTTGATTCATTTAGAAAAAAATGGCGGTGGATCATAGTTTTTATTCTATTACTTCACAAGGCATGTGCAAAAGTTTTATTCCTAGAAAGTGCATATAGCATTTTCCACGTAATTTTCACATTGCGATTCCACTGACTCGACAGAGCATTTGGGAGGATGTAAATTACGGTGATTCAATAGCTCAACAGACATCGTCAAATGTCGTTGTACAGTTGTGGATTTTTTCTGTTATCTAAAAAAATCAAACGCACAATTCGTGAAATTTCAGACACATTTTTCTAATTGAGAAATTAAAACACAAAATAAATTACCAATAACTTATAATTACAAAAGGAATTTGGTTTTTCTTAAATTTTAACTTATAATCCTAAGGTATTACGTTGACATTTTTAGGGCTGCTTCCACGAATGCTACTGTTTTCTAATATGTCCAACACAGAGTTACGAATGAGATGAACGTGGCTCTGTTGAGGCCTTTTAATCATGAAGATGTGAAGTCGGCTCTTTTTGATATGGCTCTGGAAAAAGCCCCGGGACTGGACGGTATGACTCCCGCTTTTTATCAACGCTTTTGGCCGGTGGTGGGACATGATTTATCTTGTTTCGTGCTAAACTGCTTGAATACTTGTACCATCCCACTTGGCCTAAATGACACTACTATTGTCTTGATACCGAAGAAGAAGGTGCCGGAAAAAGTCGGAGATCTCCGACCAATTGTGTTGTGCAATGTGGTCTACAAGGTGATAGCCAAAATGCTCACCAATCGTTTGAAGGAGATTTTATCTCAGATTATTTCACCTACTCAGAGTGCTTTCATCAAGGACCGCTTACTTTCTGACAATATTATTTTGGCGGGTGAGATTGGTCATTATTTGAGAAGGACAAGACAAGGGGCTGTCGGATGGTCTGCGCTAAAACTTGACATGGCTAAGGCATACGATAGGATGGAGTGAAATTTTTTGGAGGGAATGTTGTCTGCTTCAGGCTTTGCTCCAGAATGGGTTCAGTTGATCTTCATGTGTGTCACGACGATTCAGTATAATGTGACAGTGAACGGTGAATCGGTAGGCACTGTTATTCCTTCGAGAGGTATCCGGCAGGGGGATCCTTTGTCGCCGTATCTTTTCATTATTTGCGCAGAGGGGCTATCGACGTTACTTAACCGTGCTGAGACTTGCGGGGATATCCATGAGATTAAAATGCCCAGAGGTGCGCCACCGATATCTCACTTAATGTTTGCTGATGATTGCCTCCTATTTTTTTAAAGCTAGTCCCCGCAAATCACACACAATCAAGGATGCTTTGGACTTATATTGCGCTGCTTCGGGACAAAGAATCAATTTTGATAAGTCCAATTTAATGTGCAGTATGAGCACACTAACTGAAATGCGTGAGTATATTGCTGGTTCCTAGGGGTGCGCTTGATAGAAGATTTGGGTAAATATCTAGGCCTTTCATCCTTCCTGGGGAGAAACAAGATAGCCACCTTCCGGTTTATTGAGCAGAAATTAAAAGATCGCATGAGTTCTTGGCGAACAAAATTCATTTCGAGAGCGGGGAAGGAAATCCTTTTAAAAAGTGTTGCTCAAGCCCTCCCTATTTTCGTTATGTCTGTGTATCTCCTGCCTGCTACAATATGTGACAGTTTGGAGAGATTCATGAATCGTTTTTGGTAGGAGAATGGTTCGGCAAATAGAGGGATCTCTTGGACTAGTTGGTCGAGGCTATGTCGACCGAAGAGCTCTGGCGGGATGGGCTTTAAAAAACTCCATGAGTTTAATCTATCACTCCTTTCTAAATAGGGATGTCGCCTAATATCTTGTCCGAATACCTTGGTGAGTAAAGTGCTGAAGGCCAAATATTATCCTACAACTGATTTCCTTGGAGCAAATCTTGGCAGCAACCCAAGTTACATTTGGAGATCCATTTTAGCAAGCAAGCCTATTTTGCAGGGTGGTTTAGCGAAGAGGATTGGCGATGGGAAAAACACAAAAATCTGAGAGGTACTGTGGCTATCTGACAGAGTTAACCCATCCCTAACAACTCCTGTGGTAGATGCTTTGAGGGATGCTCCGGTGGCAGGACTTATGAACGAATCAGGGACATGGGATACAGAGATTATTGATGATCTTTTTGCAGCTGCAGATATACCCAAGATCCTGGCAACTCCCATTTCACCGGACTGCAGCGATGAATGGTATTGGAGAGGCGACTTGCACGGTAAATACGCTGTATGTCATGGTTATCGTTATCTGATGAGAGGACGCCATGATGCTGAACCGACACTTGAGTTTGTGGAATGGAGTAAGTTGTGGAAGCTTCCTACCCCTCCCAAGGTTCGAAATTTCTTATGGAGGTGTATGAGGGGCGTTTTACCTGTTCGAGAAGCGCTTAGGAGTAAGAATGTATAGGTGGGAGGCGGATCCCCGCTTTGTGAATGTGATTATAAGACCATCGACCACCTTTTCTGAAGATGCGTTTTCTCTAGAGAGTTGTGGGGAGCTCATGCAAATCAAAGTAATGTGAATTTGCCAGGCTTATTAAACATCCTTCTGTGCACTCTCCAACCTGCTGAGATGGTAAAGATTGCGGCAGCTATGTGGTTCGTATGGAATGCCCGAAATGATCTCGTGTGGAAGAATATCTCTCCCTCCTTGGACTTGTTAAAAAGGCTCGTAGATATAAATGCGGCACTTTGGGTCCAAGCATACACCGCACAGTGAGGTACCCTCTTTACCATCATCTTTTAGGGTCTCCTCCAACAACTGGACTCCCCCGCAGCCGGGTTTCATTAAATGTAATGTGGATGCAACTTTGTTTGGTTCTGGTGCTGGTTATGGTGTTGTTGTACGCAATTCCGAGGGAAAGTTCGTGGCAGCATGCATTGGAAGACTGCATTGCGCTGATGATCCGTATATGGCGAAAACTATGGCGGTTAAGGAGGCGCTCACTTGGATGAAGACACATAGTTTCAATAACATTATTCTTGAATCAGACTGTTTGAATTTTTGTTCCGCTTTTAACTTTGTCGTTTGGATCTTTCATATGTTGGTTTGGTAGTAAAGCAATGTCATAAGATTGCTAGTGACATCGGGAACGTTTCAGTTCGCCATGTCAACAGGTCAGCGAATCATTTAACTCATGTTCTAGCGCGGGCTTCTGATTCTATGTCTGCCCTTTGGTTCGTGGTTTTCTACGCCACCCACCTGTATCTTGTCTTTTGTTGATCTTTAATATATCATCTCCCTTCTCTCAAAAAGAAAAAAGAAGAAAAAAGTTCATACTCATAAGTTCAATTGGAATAATTCCTCCATTAAAAACCTTGCTAGAAAAACTCTATGGGAAAAACCTAGTCAAGGGAAAAAGAGTGCATGATATATGTTCAATTATGTGTTGCACAGGTTGCCTCATTAAAAACCTTAGGCTAAGAAAATTCAATTAGAAAAAACTTAGCTAAGGAAAAAAGAGTACAACCATAACACCAACATAAATTTCATGGCATAATATTCATAATTCATTATACCCCCTGAAAATAATAATCTTCAAATCCCTTATATTAAACTTCCAAAATATAGGGAGGAATTTTGTGAACAAACATGTTCAATTGCCAATGGGGTAAATATACTTTATAATATTCTTCAAATCCCTTATATTAAACTTTCAAAATGTAGGGAGGGATTTTGTGAACAAACATGTTCAATTGTCAATGGGGTGAATATACTTTATAATAATCTCGTGACTCTTCTTGAGCTCATGTGGGTATAATATTGACATCATAATGTCTAGCAAATTTTTTTTTCATAATATACCCATTTTTCATTGGTGCAACATAATCTTTATTGTCCCCTTATAGAACAATGGGGGAAAGATATAATAAAACCAGTTTTGGTACTTGGCATTCATGGGGATACAATAATAATATAGAATCGTTATGCTGTGCAACCGTGTGCACCATGCACAAACGACATCGTTTTGACTAAAAACGCGCGTCCAACTTAAAAAAAATCCAGTTTCGATTCCCGTCAACAACAGTATGCTGTGCTCATTCATTATGGATATTTAGTTCATTCATTATGGATTTTTAGTTCATTCATTCTGAATATTTAGTTCATTCATTCTCGATATTTAGTTCATTAATTCTCGATATTTAGACGGAAATCGAAACTGATTTTTTTTTCATTCATGCTGGATATTTAGTTCATTCATTCTGGATATTTAGTTCATGCATTCTGGATATATATTTAGTTCATTCATTCTGGATATATAGTTTAAATTATACACAACATAATGTTGTTGGCAATTTGCCATACAAATTATTCTTCTAAATGCCCAAACTTAGAGCCATTACCGGGCTGGCTCGTCTCGAGTTCGACCGAAAACGGGTTGGGCTGGGTTGACCCGTTTTTACACGGGTTGGGATTTTCCCAAACCAACCCGTGTAAGACGGGCTGACGGGCTAAGCGGGCCATCAACATATTACTGTCCAGATTCAAAGACTACAGATCCAGATTAGCCAAACCTTGGGGAATCAGACCAACAAGTTGATTCTCGTTCAAGCTGAGATCCTTTAAAGAAGTCAAATTCTCGATACTACCAGGGATTGATCCACTAAATCGGTTCCCATGAATCCACAATGACACAAGGCCAACCATGGATCCTATGACATCAATTGGACTAGTCATTCCACCACCTTCCTGGTTATTCAACCATAAAATATGCAGCATTGAGTTGCGAGAATTGTTTGGTATCGTACCACTAAGCCCATTGCCATACAGTTCAACGCAGTAAGAGATGGAAGCTCCCCAAAATATCTCGGCAATGGTCCTACTATGTTACAGTTGGAGCATGAAAAAATCGTCAACTGAGAAGATTTCTGCAGGTTAGAAGGAATAGACCATCTAGTAGTCTTATTCAACGGGTTGTCATCCAAGCCAAAAAAAGAATACTAGTAAGCCCATGGAAGAAATTCGTGGGTATCAAATCAAATTGATTGCCATCCAAGAACACAGACTGTAAATTGCCAAACTCACTTAAAGTTGGCAGTTTGTCATATAAATTATTCTTCTAAAAAGGCCCAAAAATAGAGTTGTCAAAACGGGCCAGACCGGCCCATATGGGCTGGCCCGTCTCGAGTACAACCAGAAACGAGCCGGACTGGGCCGACCCTTTTTTACACGGGTTGGGATTTTCCCAACCCAACCCGTGACGGGCAGACAGGCTAAACAAGCCATCAACATATTACTGTCCAGATTCAAAGAATATAGATCTAGATTTGCCAAACCTTGGGGAATCATACCAACAAGTTGATTTACGTTCAAGCTGAGATCATTTAAAGAAGGCAAATTTTTGATATTAGCAAGGATCGATCCACTAAATCTGTTCCCATGAAGCCACAATGATACAAGGCCAACCATGGATCCTATGACATCAATTGGACTAGTCATCCCGCTACCTTCCTGGTTATTCAACCATAAAATCTGCAGCATTGAGTTGTGAAAATTGTTTGGTATTGTACCACTAAGCCCATTGCCAGACAGTTTCAATGCACTGAGAGATGGAAGCTCCCCAAAATATCCCGGCAATGGTCTTACTATGTTACATTTGGAGCATGAAAAATTCGTCAACTGAGAAGATTTCTGCAGGTTAGAAGGAATAGACCATCTTGTAGTCTTATTCAACGGGTTATCATCCAAGCCAAAAAAATAATATTAGTAAGCCCATGGAAGAAATTTGCGGGGATCAAATCAAACTGATTGCCATCCAAGAACACAAACTGAAAATTGCCCAACCCACTTAAAGTTGGTAGTTTGCCATATAAATTATTCTTCTAAATGCCCAAACTTAGAGCAGTCAAAACGGGCCAACCCGCCCCATACGAGCTGACCCGTCTCTAGTTCAACCGGAAATGGGCCGGACCGACCCGTTTTTACATGATAGGGGAAAATCCCAACCCCACCCGTGTAAGACGGGCATACGGGTTAAACGGGCCATCAACACATTACTATCCAGATTCAAAGACTACAGATCCAAATGAGCCAAACCTTGGAGAATTAGACCAACAAGTTGATTCTCGTTCAAGCTGAGATCCTTTAAGAAGTCAAATTATCAATATTACTAGGGATTGATCCACTAAATCTGTTCCCAGGAAGCCACATTAATACAAGGCCAACTATGGATCCTATGACATCAATTGGACTAGTCATCCCGCCAACTTCCTGGTTATTCAACCATACAATCTGCAGCATTGAGTTGTGAAAATTCTTTGGTTTCGTACCACTAAGCCCATTGCCAGACAGTTTCAATGCAGTGAGAGATGGAAGCTCTACAAAAATATCCCCGCAATGGTCCTACTATGTTACAGTTGGAGCATGGAAAATTCGTCAACTGAGAAGATTTCTACAGGTTAGAAGGAATAGACCATCTAGTAGTCTTATTCAACGGGTTATCATCCAAGCAAAAAAATAAAAAATAAAGAATACTAGTAAGCCCATGGAAAAAATTCACGAGGATCAAATCAATCTGATTGCCATCCAAGAACACAGACTGCAAATTGCCCAACTCACTTAAACTTCGCGGTTTGCCTTATAAATTATTCTTCTAAATGCCAAAACTTAGAGCTATCAAAACGGGCCAGCCCGACACATAAAGGCTGTCCCGTCTCGAGTTCAACCGAAAACGGGCCGGGCCGACCCATTTTTACACAATAGGGGAAAATCCCAACCCAACCCATGTAAGACGGGCATACGGGTTAAATGGGCCATCAACATATTACTATCCAGATTCAAAGACTACAGATCCAGATGAGCCAAACCTTGGAGAATCAGACCAACAAGTTGATTCTCGTTCAAGTTGAGATCCTTTAAAGAAGTCAAATTATCGATATTACTAGGGATTGATCCACTAAATCTGTTCCCAGGAAGCCACATTGATACAAGGCCAACCATGGATCCTATGACATCAATTGGACTAGTCATCCCGCCAACTTCCTGGTTATTCAACCATACAATCTGCAGCATTGAGTTGTGAAAATTGTTTCAATGCAGTGAGAGATGGAAGCTCCACAAAATATCACGGCAATGGTCCTACTATGTTACAGTTGGAGCATGAAAAGTTCGTCAACTGAGAAGATTTCTACAGGTTAGAAGGAATAGACCATCTAGTAGTCTTATTCAACGGGTTATCATCCAAGCAAAAAAAAAAAAAAAAAAAGAATACTAGTAAGCCCATGGAAAAAATTCACGAGGATGAAATCAATCTGATTGCCATCCTAGAACACAGACTGCAAATTGCCCAACCCACTTAAACTTCGCAGTTTGCCATATAAATTATTATTCTAAATGCCCAAACTTAGAGCTATCAAAACGGGCCAACCCGACACATACAGGCTGTCCCGTCTCGAGTTCAATTAGAAAGGAGTCGGGCCGACCCGTTTTTACATGGGTTGGGTTTTCCCAAACCAACCCGTGTAAGACGGGCTGATGGGCTAAGCGGGCCATCAACATATTACTGTCCAGATTCAAAGACTACAGATCCGGATTAGCCAAGCTTTGGGGAATCAGACCAACAAGTTGATTCTCGTTCAAGCTGAGATGCTTTAAAGAAGTAATATTCTCGATATTACCAGGGATTGATCCACTAAATCTGTTCCCATGAAGCCACAACGATACAAGGTCAACCATGGATCCTATGACATCAATTGGACTAGTCATCCTGCCACCAGTATTGAGTTGTGAAAATTGTTTGGTATCGTACTACTTAGGGCTGGGCACTCTGGGTTTCGGTTCGGTTTTTTCGGTTTCAGTTTTTCGGTTTTAAAAAAATTAAACCATTCGGTTTAAAATAGAGTTCGGTTTCGGTTTGAAAAGTTCGGTTCGGTTCGGTATTCGGTTCGGTTTAGGTGAAAGTCTACTATTTGAACGTTTCTTTTTTTGCCTGACCGGTTGTTCAGTTGGCTCACTTAAAGTGCCACTTGAAGTGTTTTGTTGATGACAAAATGAAAAATCATTCATCTATAGTTAATATTTGAAAAATAAAAATTACTAAAACACCAAATGTTTGGACTTACAACTTGGAGTTGAGATTTGAGGACTTGAGGAGTTAAAATTATTAATTGTTATAATATTTATATACATAGAAATTTAATTAAAATATAATCAACAATTAAAGTAATTATATAATGATTTTAATAAAATGATAATTAAAGAATAGGAAACAGGTATCATAGTTAATTATATATATATATATATATATATATATATATATATATATGTGTGTGTGTGTGTGTGTGTGTGTGTGTGTGTGTGTGTGTGTGTGTGTGTGTGTGTGTGTGTGTGTGTGTGTGTGTGTGTGTGTGTGATAATAATGATAGAATTATGAAACTTTAGAATTAAATAGCAACGGTGTAATAACGGTATAATGGTATTTTAGTCTAACAAGAATGTAGTACGGATAATTTTATTCATTATATTTGAAGTGTGCAATATTTAATGAAAAATGTATACCCTTATTAGCATACAAATGTGAATATAGACATGAATGTGGGTAAAAGCTCTTAGTTTATAATCAAATGAGTAAGGGTTCAATCCTCACCTTAAACATTTAATATAATATATATCTATTAATTAATATAAAAAAAAAATAGAAAACCGATCGGATTATCGGTTCGGTTCGGGTAACCCAAACCGATTTGCCCAGCCCTAGTACTACTAAACCCATTGCCAGACAGTTTTAATGCAGTGAGAGATGGAAGGTCCCCAAAATATCTCGGCAATGGTCCTACTATGTTACAGTTGGAGCATGAAAAATTCGTCAACTGAGAAGATTTTTTCAGGTTAGAAGGAATAGACCATCTAGTAGTCTTATTCAACGGGGTATCATCCAAGCCAAAAAAATAATACTAGTAAGCCCATGGAAGAAATTCGCGGGAATCAAACTTCCTGGTTATTCAATCATACAATCTGCAGCATTGAGTTGTGAAAAATGTTTGGTATCGTACTACTAAGCTCATTACTAGACAATTTCAATGCAGTGAGAGACAGAAGTTCCACAAAATATCCCGGCAATGGTCCTACTATGTTACAGTTGGAGCATGACAAATTTGTCAATTGAGAAGATTTCTACAGGTTAGAAGGAATAGACCATCTAGTAGTCTTATTCAACGGGTTATCAGCCAAGTAAAAAAAAAAAAAAAGAATACAAGTAAGCCCATGGAAAAAATTCACGAGGATCAAATCAAACTGATTGCCATCCAAGAACACAGACTACAAATTGCCCAACTCACTTAAAGTTGGCAGTTTGCCATATAAATTATTCTTCTAAATGCCCCAACTTAGAGCTGTCAAAACGGGCCAGCCCGACACATACGAGCTAGCCCGTCTCGAGTTCAACCGAAAACGGGCCGGTCTGACCCGTTTTACACGGGTTGGAATTTTCCGAACCCAACCCGTGTAAGACGGGGTGACGGGCTAAACAGGCCATCAACATATTACTGTCTAGATTCAAAGACTACAGATCCAGATTAGCCAAACCTTGGAGATCGAATCAGACCAACAAGTTGATTCTCATTCAAGCTGATATCCTTTAAAGAAGTCAAATTCTCGATATTACCAGGGAATGATCCCCTAAATTTGTTCCCATGAAGCCACAATGATACAAGGCCAACCATGGATTCTATGACATCAATTGGACTAGTCATCCCGCCACCTTCCTGGTTATTCAACCATAAAATCTGCAGCATTGAGTTGTGAAAATTGTTTGGTATCGTACTACTAAGCCCATTGCCAGACAGTTTCAATGTAGTGAGAGATGGAAGCTTCCCAAAATATCTCGGCAATGGTCCTACTATGTTACAGTTTGAGCATGAAAAATTCGTCAATTGATAAGATTTCTGCAGGTTAGAAGGAATAGACCATCTAGTAGTCTTATTCAACGGGGTATCATCCAAGCCAAAAAAAAGAATACTAGTAAGCCTATGGAAGAAATTCACGGGGATCAAATCAAACTGATTGCCTTCCAAGAACACAAAATGCAAATTTCCCAATCAACTTAAAACTGACAGTTTGCAATATAAATTATTCTTCAAAAGGTCATAACGGGCCAACCCGGCCATACGGGCTGGCCCGTCTCGAGTTCTACTAGAAATGGGCTGGACCGGGCTGACCCGTTTTTACACGGGTTGGGATTTTCCCAATCCAACCCGTGTAAGACGGATTGACGAAATAAACTGGCCAAATCAAATTAGCCAAACCTTGGGGAATTAGACCAACAAGTTGATTCTCGTTCAAGCTGAGATCTTTTAAAGAAGTCAAATTCTCGATATTACCAGGGATTGATCTCCTAAATCTGTTCCCATGAAGCCACAATGATACAAGGCCAACCATGGATCCTATGACATCAATTGGATTAGTCATCCCGCCACATTCCTGGTTATTCAATAATAAAATCTGCAGCATTGTGTTGCGAAAATTGTTTGGTATTGTACCACTAAGGCCATTGCCAGACAGTTTCAATGCTGTGAGAGATGGAAGCTCCCCAAAATATCCCGGCAATGGTTCAACTAAGTTACAGTAGGAGCATGAAAAATTCGTCAACTGAGAGATTTCTGCAGGTTAGAAGGAATAGACCATCTAGTAGTCGTATTCAACGGGTTATCATCTAAGCCAAAAAAGATAATACTAGTAAGCCCTTGGAAAAAATTTGCGGGGATCAAATCAAATTGATTGTCATACAAGAACACAGACTGCAAATTGCCCAAACCACTTAAAGTTGGCAATTTGCCGTATAAATTATTCTTCTAAAAGCCCAAACTTAGAGTTGTCAATAACAGGCCGACCCGGCCCATACGAGCTAGCCCGTCTCGAGTTCAACGGGAAACGGGCCGGTCTGACCCGTTTTTTACACGGGTTGGGATTTTCCCAACTCAACCTGTGTAAGACGGATTGACGGGCTAAACGGTCCATCGACATATTACTGTCTAGATTCAAAGACTACAGATCTAGATTAGCCAAACCTTGGGGAATCAGATCAACAAGTTGATTCTCGTTCAAGCTGAGATCCTTTATAGAAGTCAAATTCTTGATATTACCAGGGATTGATCCTTTAAATCTGTTCCCATGAAGCCACAATGATACAAGGCCAACTATGGATCCTATGACATCAATTGGACTAGTTATCCTGCCACATTCCTGGTTATTCAACCATAAAATCTGCAGCATTGAGCTGCGAAAATTGTTTGGTATCGTACCACTAAACCCATTGCCAGACAGTTTCAATGTAGTGAGAGAAGGAAGCTCCCCAAAATATCCCGACAATGGTCTAACTTTGTTACCGTTGGAGCATGAAAAATTCGTCAACTGAGAAGGTTTCTGCAGGTTAGAACGAATAAACCATCTAGTAGTCTTATTCAACGGGTTATCATTCAAGCCAAAAAAGAATACTAGTATGCCCATGGAAAAAATTCGCGGGATCAAATCAAACTGATTGCCATCCAAGAACACAGACTGCAAATTGACCAACCCACTTAAAGTTGGCAGTTTGCCGTATAAATTATTCTTCTAAAGGCCCATACTTAGAGTTGTCAAAATGGGCCAGCCAGACCCGTACGGGCTGGCCCGTCGGCCCGTCTCGAGTTTAATTGGAAACGGGCCGGGCCGAGTCGACCTATTTTTACACGGATTGAAATTTCCCAACACAACCCGTGTAAGACGGGCTGACGTGCTCAACGGGCCATAATGCCATATACGCACACACACATAAAATTTGATTTTAACTTTTAATATATAATTATAATTTATTTTATTTATATTTTGAAACTAATATAGTTTAAATGTAGTATTTCTTATTTTGTAATTTAATATTATTAAGTTATTTTTTTTTTTTGAGAAGAAAAGATTAATGCATTAAATCACATGATAGGTGCGGCACAAGTAAAGGAGGTGGGACATCAAACCACTCTCCACAACCTGCAGTAGAACATGTCTCTCTAGCAATCGTATGAGCGACATAGTTCGCAGATCGT